TGCATTTCTCTGAAACAGACGGTTGCAATCATGAGGACATAATTTGAATAGCACACACACACACACACACATATTGTATTTATGTCTATCTATGCGTGTAAGTCAAAGAATACACACATGAAAAACATGTATGTATGTATATTATGCATATATATGTGTGTGTGTGTGTGTGTCTGTGTACGTGTGTGTGTAATTGCAACAGTGTATACACAGACCCACGTGTACGTATGTATATATATGTGTATTTCTGTGTGCGTGTCTGTATGTGTACGTGTGAGTGTGTGTGTGTGTGTATTTTGCTCGGACCTTATTTCAAGGTGCGTTTATTCGTAAATGTATATAGTTGTATCTTCATAAGCAGACAATATGTGTGTTGTTCAAGCATAAATTTCTGCACACACATACAAGAATCCTCTCCCGGCACACATATCGGTGTGTGTGGCGTGTAGTATTATTAAGGCGTATATGTGTGCGTATACGCGTTAGACAGACACACGCATATACAGCCGGATGAGGCTCATTTATTAAAAGGTAAACAGTCTGCGAGCGTGTGCCTTTATACAAAGGCGTACATAGATGGGACACGGTGGAGTAATGGATAGCGGCTCGGATTAAGAAGCGGAGAAGCGAGTTCGAATTCTAGTCGAATCCATTATATTCACTTACGTGCATGTATCCTTGGAAAAAGGTATGAATCCTCTTCTTCCCCTAGCTATGGGTGAATAGCAGGACAGACCGGGTTCTATAGCCGCAGAAAGAAATGACAACCTACTGCGGAAAAAATCTGCCTCGTCAGTCATGTATCGAAAGATACATGATCGCCTATGCGTGTATCACGCATGGCATATACCTGACTGACATAGATGAGGGTGTGCTGATCAATTGCTGGTCCGACACAGTTCCCAAATGATCAAAGGTCAGAAATTCTTTGTTGGGCGAAGAAATTTCGAACTTTCAGGCAGAGTTTTTTTTTTATTGTGAAGTTCACTCTGTACAAGGCCCGGAGCCACTCGAAGTAGAGGGTTACATAGTACGAGGTACAGCTTATGCTGTGGAAGATAACGGTTAACCCTAGACTTGAACAGGTTAAAATTGTAGTGAAGCAGCGTCTTGGGCAGAAGTTATAAGATACAAGTTCCACCCAAGCAGCTTCTGCCCAAGATTCTGCTTGGGTGGAACTTATGTCTCACCTGGGGGATATGAAAGAAATAATGAGAAATATATATAGACACTTTCCTACTTTATGTCGCTATTAGTCTTTTAAAAAGAATGTTTAATCAACATTCAAATTCTTAAGCAGCTTCGAGTCTGGTCAGTAACTAAATGAAGGATCGCTTGGGAATACCAGGTTATGTAAGCTTGGATGTGTGGGTGGTGTAGTGTTCAGAATTGGAAATCGAAGAGCCAAGTTCAAATCCCAGTATGGTTTATTATATTCACTTACACACAAATACCCTTGGGAAAGATATAAATCCACCTCTTCTCCCCAACCACAGCTATGGGTTAATTAGTAGACCTTGTATAAGCAAAAATCATTATTCTTTCCAACTGCAATCTTACAGTCTAAAAATATTTGATGGCTTTAAATAACCTACAAAATGATGATAAACCCTAAAAAAAATACACACACACACACACACATATATATATATATATAATACATAAACGCGATTAAATATATATACAAATATATATATATATATATATATATATATATATATATATATATATATATATATATATATATAAAATTCGCTTGAAGATGGAACAGAGCTTACTTTAACTCAATTTAATTCAAATAATTATATTGAAGTTTTCGGCTCTTGTTTTGAAACATGAGACCTCTTATGTCGCGAGTTGGAATCATTTTTAAATAAATAATTATATTTATGCTCTACTTTTGTATCGAGCACTATTTAAAAAAAAATAATAACTAAAATACTAAGGAACTAAGGATTATTTACCTAACCAGTTCTTTCCTATTTTATATATATATCACACACACACACACACACACACACACACACACACACACACACACACACACACACACATATATATATATATATATATATATATATATATATAAACGCGATTAAATATACATTTTCCTACATCGTTATATTTGTTCTGATTATATCTCATGTCTGCATTTTTGTGTCAAGAAATGAATGTTTTACGTAGGTGTTCATGCTAAAACCTATTTTAACGTTGACTCAATGCTTCTGTGGCCATACACTCGACAGATGGCGTTGGACAAAAGTCAAATTATGTCCATAAGGTAAACATTAAAGAATAGGGCCTGTTCGACGTGTAAATAAAACAAAGCCATTTTTTCAAATCTTAACGGATGCCCAATTTAACATCATAATGCGCCAAAAGCTATTCATTTAGTTTTCTTTCTCTCTTCCTCGCTCGCCACACACATACACGTGAGATCATGTGCTCCAATGAAGAGGCAATGCCAGACTAAATATAGATCAGCAAATGGCTTGAATAAGGGAACAATAGCGTAAAACCTTGCTGGTTGTACATGGTTCCGAAATTCAATCCTCTCGAAAAGCTCCTTTAGAATTTCACCTTGTGTCAAACTTGATTTAGTCTGACCTCAGTACTATGTATTACGTGTGTACATTTTTACCCTTGTGAACACTTGGAATAGTTTTCATGTCCCAGGGAACCCTTGCAGCTTCTTCTCTCGCACTTCCCAACAGAGGAACTCCCTTCCTCTTACTTGCGTCCCTGATGGTTATAATCTTCAAATATTTAAATGTATTGTCAATCGTATGTTTCCGATACATTGATTCTCCTCCCTCTCATTCACTATATCCTTTCCTCAAACACCCCTTTTGCCATCTTTCTCTAATCCCCTACGTGCTTGTGGAACTCCCACCTTGCTTGGGGTGAAATGCTTAAAAATATCCATCTCTTTTACTTTTTTTATCGTACTCCATGTGATAAACATAATATACGAACACCGTGCATACGCCCGGTACTCAATGGTACGCCACGTACAGGTCTTGTCCACTAACCAGTGAAGGCGGTTTCACACTGACGCCATACAGTCACCGTAAAACACATTCCCTATGATTATTATAATTTTAAATGATATAAGAAGTTGAAGCATTTACTATAATAACCAATGATTTTCCAACAATATTCTGAACGTTTATAGTAAAACTAGCAGCCATACCCAGTTGGTCGATCAGAAAAAGAGTTAAATTCGAATGCAGCAAAAACAGCAGAATGTTTAGATAAAACAGTCTATCTTCTTCAATTACTTTAAAATACTTTCATTAAAAAAACATTTTGAATTAATTCAGTTACTAATATAACAGAAGTAGTCTGTATTTATTCAATCAAAGTTAGCCGATGGTCATGAAGGGGTAAAACAGGCAACATGAAGTCCCACTTCAGATTAAAATTATTTTGGGGTTTTTGAAATTCAATTTGTCAGTGTGCTCCCAGGGATGTAAAAGAGGATACATTTATAAAGCAATTGTTAAGTTTGGTGAAAATTGGTTGAAAGATCAACGAAAAATATGAAAGAAACCAGTAAAAATCGCCATTTTTCACTATTTACGCGGGTTTTCACTATATGGGTGGACTCAGTTACCAAGTTAAATGACTGTTAAACAATCAACTTATTGTTGGCTGTAATTGAGTGAAGTTTGTATTTGATTGTTTGAAAATTGAGGGAGTTTTTAGTTTAAAATTTATGCTGAAATCGATTTTTTGTTTTTCGTCCTTTTTCGCTTTAAGCAGTGGCGAAGAAATAAAAATGAGGTATCGTTGAGCTCATCATGATGCAAGTAACCAACATACCGAGTTTGAACGAAATCGGAAGGAAAAAGATGAATTTATTGATTTTTAATCGGCTTTATCGATATATATATATATATATATATATATATATATATATATATATATAGGCAGCAATCCTTCCTTTATGCATGTTTCATTAAAAACGACATACAAGGTACTACGGTTAAGCTTTTTATTTAATTTTTCTTGTGTTCGAACAAGGGCTTTCTTTTCTAGACAAATGGTGTGTAAGTTTTATATTTCCGAGTGCTTTCGGCTATACTTTTAGCCATTATCAAGGATGATTCAATATCTCAGCTTAATTGAGTGTGTGCGTTATGTGTATGGTAGGGATGTTTTTAATTTCCGAATCCGGTTACGTTACACCTATCTGATCACAGCTCCATTAGAACCCATTTAAACACACACACAGACTTACCCGACACTATTAGGAACATACTAGTAGAAAACACAAATATATTAACTGCCTCTACCTGCAAAAAAAAAAAAAAGACTAAAAATAATGGAAGCTTTAATAATAAAAAAGAAAAAGCCAACTCTTAACAATATTAACTACGAACAAAGTCACAATGTGCTAACTGTATTCGGAAATTAAAATCATCCCTACCACACACTAAGACATTTATCGTTATATTTGTTCTGATTAAATTTCTTGTCGGCATTTTTGTGTCAAGAAATGAATGTTTTACGTCGGTGTTTCTGCTAAAACCTATTTTAACGTATTTTACCCCTTATTCGGAATTTGAACTCGACTCACTAGTTCCACTTTTCGCGTCACTACCCATTGCGCTACCCATATATTCACTGTGAAGATTTACGTCGACGAGAAAAAAAAAATGGAAATGGTTTTTAAGTGAAATGGGTGCATCATCCATCTTTGTTCATGTGAGTAAAAGAAAAAAGACAAAAAAGACAAAACAGACAAAAAAGAGAAGCAAAAAATGGCGCATAAGCCTGCGACCTTCTAAGTTGACGGGTATGTAAAACTGGGTGTTTTGTGAGCGTAAGAACGTGCGAAGCGAGGAAGCTGTGTGAATGGAATTAATGCACCTGACTCTGTTGACAGATTACGGAAAGAGTTACACAATTGGGTTGGTCACTTGAGAAGTTTCTGTGTTCTATGATAAGAATGGAAACCATTTCTCAAGCTCTGGTTTTTTTTCCCGCGATTGAATTTAAATTGCAAAACCAGCGTCCATTAAGAGTGTGTGCATTTTGGTGGAATGAAAGAAAGAAAGAAAGAAAGAAAGAAAGAAAGAAAGAAAGAAAGAAAGAAAGAAAGAAAGAAAGAAAGAAAAATGGGGTAAAGCGTATAGCAGAGGGAAAAAAAAGAAAACGAACAAAAAAGAAAGAGAAGGAAAGGAAGACACACGAGTGGGGTGTGGAAGGTGGGAGGAGAGTATGTAAAGGAAATGAGAAAGGAAAAAAAGAGAAAGAAGCAGTAAGATGTTGAAGATAATTAATGAAGTAAAAAGATGTACACGACGGCGAAAGAATTTAAAGAAAAAAAAAAGAACACCCAAAGAGAAAAAGGAAGAAAAATAAGGAAGAAATAAGAATGAAAAAGAAGAGGGAATAGGAAAAGAAGTAAGAGTGAACGACTAAGGGAAGTAAAAAGAAAAAAAAATGTTGGAAATAAAGGAAAATAAAAGGGAAGAGAATGAACGAATGAATTCAGGCAGAGAAATAAGAATGTAAAAACGAAAAATCTCGAGAAAAAAAAAGGAAAAAAGAGGAAAAGAGAAAAAGGAAAAAATACAGACGAAGGATCAATGTAACGTAAGAAGAAAAAAATCGAAACAACAACAACAACAATAATAATAATAATAATAACGTCTTAAAGAAATACAAAAATTGTACTAACAAGTATCGCACTCACATTAAGAAGAGCTTTATTTATGTAAAATGTGTGCGATCACATCATTTACAAAAATGATCAGTATAAAATGTCATGACGCCATTTCTGACCTTAGGTCTCTGGTTAGGACCAGGAAGGAAATGTGTATTTAACAGAAATCAAAGGAAAAAATAATAATAATAATAATAATAATAATAATATCTGTTCTGGAAAACACACTTACAGAAAGGAAACTGCAAGAAATTGGTATGAACACCATCCAGACCCGATAACGGAGATAGGATCTGTAACATTTTTATGGTACTTAACAATACACACAGAACAATAAAAGCTAACATCACCCTGACATCGTGATTAGAGACAGCAAAGACAAAATGTGCCTCCATATTGATATGACTGTGCCTGCAGATAGTATCCTTGAAAAAAAAACTATCAAAATACAAGTACGTTGAAATTGAAATCTCAAAAATGTGGCGCATGAGGACATTAACAATTCCAGTAGTAGTTGGAACACTCGGATTGATTGGAAAATATTCCAATAGACTCATTGAAGGAATCCCTGATAGCCCATGCCTTAAAGTAATACAAAAACTGTACTCACAAGTACAGAACCACACCTTACGAAGGGCTTTATTTATGTAAAATAGATGCGATTTTTTTTCGAAACTGCTCAGTGGAAAATGTTATGATGCCATTTCTGTCCTTAGGTCTCTGGTTGGGACCAGGAAAGAAATGGGTATACAGCAGAAATCAAAGGAAATAAAATAATAATAATAATAATAATAATAAGCGCTTGGACAGAATGTATACAAGCGTCGGCTTGATAAAGTGATCTAAAAATATAATTTTATCATATGCTATATTTATGGTATAAAGAGCTCAACATCAGGAATAAAGCGTATGTGAATATAAAAGTGGACAATCAAATAATTTTACAAAAATTTGGGGGCGGGTTTCTGACACCAAAACAAGGTAAAAATGTCCATAAAAATATGTTCAAAATGCCATCGTTGTACCTCAACATAGAAACTCAAAACAATTGTCCAAATGTCCCTTCTATAGATACATGCACCCGTCGGATCATTGACTGGTGGACTCTTTCAAATACACCCGAACGGTATCGAATGGTTTCGTAGCCCCCTCCCCAGCCATGACATGTTGATGAAGCGTCTCTGAATTATTAATGTTTGCTGCATAAATTGTTTTAGGTGGCACCCCAGATAAAAATAGGATTGTGGTCGGGGGAATGTGCAGGAGATGGAACCGATCCTCTCTTATCTATCCATCTTACACGGTAGATGTCAACCAGTGCACCGCGAACAATGTGGCTAAAATGTTCTGGAGCCCCATCATGCATGAACCAGGTAGGATGAAAGATTTTAATTGACACCACCGCCATTGTTACGAACACTGGCAGTTGCGGGGGGGGGCGGAGGAGTGAAATATATATATATATATATATATATATTTATGCACATTTCATTGAATAAGACAATGTGCTTTGATTTAGTTTTTATACAATTTCTCATGTGATCTAATAATTTCTTTCAATATATATATATATATATATATATATATATATATATATATATATATATACACGAGTGCATATGAGTGCATCCCATCAAAGAAAATCGACCCAGAACCAGGAGATTTACATGCTATTCCACTTATTCACCCCAATTTTCGACAAATTAGGTGTATCCTTTCTCAAGTTCCTTTAATATTTCAAGAACATCATCTTTTCGCATATATAAAATAAATATATATATATATATATATATATATATATATATATATATATATATATATATATATATATGAGTGTATGTGTGTATTTGTGCATGTATGTGTGTGTGTGCATGAATAATGTGTGTGTGTGTGGGTGTTTGCGTCATAGATAAGCAGAGAAACGTGCATTGAATTGGGAAGTCGACGACAAATATCTCTGCGCAAGCGTAAGCTCTTCTCTACGTCGGGATTCAAATAACACGCGCGCAATGACTTGCTGCTTCGTAAGCACAAACAGAAGACGTTCGTGTGGGACGTCGAGGCGGTGGTTGGGGGGATCCGGGGGGCGGTGGTTGACGATTTCACACACACACACACACACACATAAAAAAAAGAAGAACTTGACACTTGAGTCGATGTAACGGGAAGAAGTTTTTGTGTCAAAGATAAAGTGAGCTCGCATTTACACAAAGTAATATTTAGATAGTCACTTGAGATATTTAGATAGTCACTTGAGATATTTAGATAGTCACTTGAGTAGAAAGTTACGGTTCGAGTTTGTGAATCGGTGACTTATATCCCAACAAGAAAATGAATTTTGTTGACACTTTGTCCATCACCGAGACATCACCTCCGCCTTGCAATAAGTAGAATAATTTTAAAAGTATGCCTTGTTATATAAGAAAAGTTGAGGCATCTCTGCCTAGGGCTATGGTTAACTAGACTTGCCTAGTTGTTCATTGTGTATTCAAATCTGACTGGATACCCCATGCAAAATTGGACAAGAATCAACTAAACAAAAAAAAATAAAAATAAAATAAAATAAAAAAATAAGTGGTCCAGGTTTTTTTTCTTTGCAATTGCACATTTGAGAAAACGCCTGGCAGCTGACTGGTCCGCTTATGAAGAAAAGAAAAAAAATGACCTGGGAGTGGGGGAAATATTTTTTGTAGATCAGCAGGTATTAGACCTTTCTCTAACCATGATATTTATCAGAATCGAAAAACATTGAAAACTTACCATTTTATAAGGGGGGTTCTGTTCATAATATAAATACAGTATCAAATTGATCCCTGACTTCTTAAAGAGTTATCCTTATTATGGTTTGGTTTGTTTGGTTTGATTTCTTTTACGGCATATCAGCCTCAATGGGTTATTTAATGCCGACAAGATTTTTATTGCTGGTGATAATTTTTTTTCCAAAAATATATGGTAAAATTTTTTTCCCAAAATGTATTCCTGGTAATAATTTTTCTTTTTCAAAAATGTATTGCTGGTATTAACATGTATTTTTATACTTTCATTGTTTTTTTACCCCTTTTGGAGGGTTAATTATTTGCGCATAGCTGAGACCCTGACAAGTTCTACCACCCCAGGCCAGGGTGAACCCGGGAACACCAGCATTTAAGAGGTGGTTCCACGCTCCTCAAAACCTCCTGATTAGAGGCTTGCTGTTGGATGTAGTTTATCGTCAGACCCAGGAAAGTCTGCATTTTGTTTTTATTTACAAGTGTCAAGCTTGAAACTGAGCGTACATCATTGATTTACAGAAAACACTTTTCCAATTTCGTTACAGAACAATGCTAATAAATCAGGTACAGATTTTGATACTTGCAACAATGAGCGGGTCTTTTGGAGAAAAGCCAATGTTGAATAATAAAATGCAAAAGAAAACGAGACCTATTGCTATGTTTCATATCTCTCGAGGCAAATTTTGATTAATTAGGTGGTTAATTTAAAGCCTATGAAACTGAGTTGGGTTATTTAATGCCGGATATAAGTCTTATAGGACAGAATACAAACTAACAATGAATTAATAAGAAGGCAGACATAGGCTTGGTTTATAGTAAAGTCAAAAAATAGACAAGTTCGGTTTATAGAAAACATGGGGTAATTTTATACTTGAGTCAAAAATAAACATAGGACCGGTTTAACAAAGAGTTAAAGGCATAAGACTGTTTTATACTTTAGTCAGAACGTAGACATTTGTCTGGTTTATATTTGAGTCAAAAAGTACACGTAGGTCGATTTATATGAGGGAGAAAGATAAACATAGATCTGATTTACACTAGACTCAAATGGTAGTCATATGTCCGGTTTAAATCAGAGTGAAAATGTGGACATTAATCCACTTTGGTGTAAAGAGGATAAATATCCACATTATACCAGAGTCAAAGGAGGTAGAATTACGTTCGACACTCAAGTCTACAAGCATCCACTCGAAAGGTGGCCATTTTGATTGGAATCTTATTCTTTTGTAGATACTGCTATCGGCTTCTTCTAAGCTTCGCCCACAGGGCTTTTGGAGGCTGACACAAGGCCGGTTTAATCATTTAGTAAAGTAAACACAAGTTTAGGATGCCAACAGAGAAAATAGCATAAGAGAATATACTGCCAGTTCATATATGCAATAAAATCAAATGTAAAATTGATATTATCGTAGCCCTTTGCTACGCCGTCCACGTGACCAAAGGCAGACGTTATAAAGGGCAACCCCCAAAAAACGGGAACTTTTTAACAATCCAATAAAACCAAGAGTGATGGAAGAAAAATATTTTATTCATAATAATTGAAACCTTAAAACATGCCATTTAAGAAACAATGATGGAATTTTCATTTTTTAAAAATTGCGTCCTGTAGATGGCGTCCTCCTGTACGAATGCATTCTTGAAATCTGCTGTTGAGATTCCTCATTGACTGCTGCAACATCTCAGCTGGGATACAGTGAATTTCATCTTGAATTCTAAATGGCGAAATGTTTACTTGCTCAAGGTCACTGTCTCACAGTGTTGCCACTTGCTCATGTCTGGCAATACGCACTTCAAAAATTCCCGTTTTTTTGGCTCACCCTATATATCTTCATGACCTTGACCTTTTTTATTGCGTTTGCCCACTCCCTTCAATTTAACTTCATTTAGATTTATAATAAGCCTAATGACATTTTAGTTCTCTCAGTTTTGTAAACCTAGTCGGTATGCACTTTGTAAACATTTTTATATTTTGTAGCAACTCTGAATTTATTTTTTCTTGAGATTCTTTTGCAGGACCAATAAATGTTTACACTCCCTTATCATATAACCTGGCGAGGAGGAGAAACACAGGTCCCTGACCGTTGTGGCCAGGGGGCTTGGACAGGTTATACATTGAGTTACGTGCCCATTTAGTTTTTTCTGCAAACTGGAGGCTAGTTGGGCTCTCCTATCCATTCTGACTTCCGGCATTCATAGCCTTTATTACTTCCGGTTACTGCGGACCCTTATCTTCAGGCAATTCCTGGCCTTTATTACCTTTGTATTAAGTTTGTTGTCCTCTTGTTGACCTGTCAGATTTCACGTCTTTTAATCTTTAAAATGTTAGTGGGTTTTCTTGTGACTTATACTTATTTGGGCGCTCAGGCCGTATTATATCGCGCCCCTCCAGGGGGTCCACTACAATATTAAGTCAATACTGAAAAATATTCATGTCATTTTTCGTTTACTAGTCTTGTAGGATTCATAAACCGAGAAACCCCTTTTCTTTTTTTATTTTTAAAGGGCATTTTTCTTTTTTAAAATAAAAAAGGAGCCCCAATAGAAATTGACTGCAAGGACAGTATTGAAAGTTCGAAATTGTCCGCTCACCTCTCGGCCTTCACTAGGTTTTTTTCACTATCCATCAGCAAGAGTGTATTGCTAGATCAATTACGATTGAAAAGCGAATTCGATCCTTACAGGGTGCCGCAAAAATATTGGCCTTGTGTCACTATCTGAACTACATTTAGATAACCAACATTAATACTGTGTCTATATTAATGGTTTGGACGATGCGTATTGTAATAAGTAACAAACTAATCAATCATATGTTACTGCCCTCAATCAGTTAAGATCGGAAGCCATGTCTGGTGTAATATCAGGGCATTGTTTTATTATTCTTTTTAAAAAATGTTCTTTTTGACCGACATTTAATTTTTAATCATATGCTTTGTCATAAACAATAAAACCTAACACAAATAAAGGGATGTGATTTTTTGTTGCTTCCAGTCAAACAAAAGGCATTTATTAAAAAAAAATTAAAAAAAATGAAATAGACAAAGTTCTTCGCAGGATCTGCGCTGTCTGTGCTTGTTAGAACTATTTTACCTGAAGAGGTGGAGAATCAGGGATTTTGTTGATTTGTTGTTGAGTTCCGTTCTTTATCAATCCCAACAGGAAGAGTTTCAATAATAATTATTATTATTATTGATTTGCTGTTTAATAGCATCCTTTTGCATGTATTTAACTTGAGATCTAAGAAGAGGGAAGGTTTTACTTGGAAAATTATTGAGCTGCGTATATATACTGGGATTCTTCTAATTGTCTTTCTTTCTTTCTTTCTTTCTTTCTTTCTTTCTTTCTTTCTTTCTTTCATCATCATCACCATCATCATCATCTTCTTCTTCTTCTTATTATTATTATTATTAGTAGTAGTAATAGTAGTACTTTGATTTCTATTGAATACACATTTCCTTCCGGGTCTCAACCAGAGATATAAGGTCAAAAGTACAACGAAAGTTCACACACATTTCACATAGATAATATGTGAACTATACTTGTGAGTACAATATTTTTGCATTTCTTTAAGGCATTATTATTATTATTGTTGTTGTTGTTGCTGTTGTTGAGTGAAAGAGCAGCACGCCCACAAAATGACACTGGGGGTAGAAATATACGAAGCCCCACATACTCACCATGTGACACCCAGTCAAAACACATATCTCTGGATGTCTGTTCTATCAATCAATCAATCAATCAATCATAATAATAATAATAATAATAATAATGATAATGATAATAATAATAATAATAATAATAATAATAAGAAGAAGAAGAAGAAGAAGAAGAAGAAGAAAAAGAAAAAGAAGAAGAAGAAACGCTCTCAATGTAATATGCCCAACAATTTTCTCTTCTCCCGAACCGTTTTCGTTTTCAGCCGGAGATTTTGCATTAAAGGTGTTCTCCATCAAGTCTTACGATCTCAGACAGAAGGAACCTTTTGCAAAGCCAATCAATTCAGACTTCTGAAGCGATGGGAGACGCAAGGCTTCATTCCGATTTTCACAATATAGGCG